GCATTAATATTTACCAAATATAGTAAAACTATTATTCTTGTGTAGTCACTCTAAATAGTGTCATACCAAAAAAAGACTCAGAGCTCTAACGTGTATCATTTACTCTGAACAACTGCCTACACACACACAGGCCCAACAGCCAATCGACGTTCAACATGTGAATCAGCATACACGTGAGCCAATAATATTACACTAGAAGGCTACAGAACACTGAGAGCATACTGTACATCACCAGAAACTACAGAGTCACCTTATCTGAAACGTCACAAAGCTAAGTTCAAGTAGCCTGCTCTATTGATGGAGCATGTTGATGAAGTCATGGGTTTGAGGCACACAGAAACTACATACTTTGAATTCTTGATCGATAGGATGGGGAAATGAAGCCTCATAAAGCATTGAGATTTCCCCTGACTGTTCCGGAATAAAATTCAAAACTTTGACAGTGTCACTGGAAAATATATGAATGAATGATAATTAATTATAATGTAAGTGTAAGAAATAAAGCAGCTAAAAGCCTGTGAAAAAAGTCGGATGATGCCACCACCACACACTCCACGGATAGTTTCAATGTTATGAGCACAAATAAAAGTGTGTTTCTCTCTCTGATAAATTAATTTAAAGTGTTTTTTTTTTTTTTATTAAAGTGTGGCAATAAATGCCAGTATTAAAATCAATATGATGTATAAGAAGAATAATGTAAGAAATAGGCTAATAGAAGAATAGCCTAATATGACTGACAGGGTTTCGTTATGAGAATGATTTTATTTTCCTTCAATAATTTGTATTCTTAATTTTACTTGAATTACTATTTAAAATGTAATCGAATAAGCATGAATGAAAACTTGCTTGTAAAGTAAGATCTGGAGTTCGAACATTGCGACACACAAAGCGAATTGCACACGTGATTTGACAGAAAGTAAAGAGGCTCGTTTGAGATGCGGCTTGCCTCGCCTGACATTTAGGCGAGAGTATGCAGCTGCAGTGAGGGGAGGAGTGAAATAAGCGCAGTCAAGATGGACAGATCTGAGCTCTCGAAGTAGAACAGACACCTACGAGGTCAAGGTGGATATCGCGTTTGTAACACAGTTCGTAGATCGGGAAGAAGGAGGCGGGAACCGGCGAACATTTAAACTTAATTTAATAATAAAATAAACACAAAACATAAAATAGCAAACAAAACCACAAACAAAACCAAAACAACATAAATCCAGGCCTGGTCCTCTCTCGTCTTGCACTGTCGTCACTCCTCCTTTTATCCTTCCGGAGCTCCTCCGTGGGACTCGAGACTGGTGAGTGGTGCAGGTGTCGCTCATTATCATTACTCCACCGGCTCGCTCCGTTCCCACGGCTCTCGGACCCGCTCCACTCGTCACAGCATTATTCACACTCATGCGCTGCATTATCATTTCAGTTCTGTTGCTTTTATATGAAAACAAATGTGATGAACAAGAAACTCTAAATACTTGCTATTTAATTCCATTCGAAAGACATATTTATCATCGATTTTTGCTTTAATACAAACATGCATTTTAGTAGGCCTTTTTTTTTAGAAATATGACAACAAACATATCTCACACAGAGACCGCACTGTCGTAGTGTTTGGGAATATTCATGCATAATTTAAACACAATCACATGAAATCAGATAAAAAATAAAACATTTTAGAAGAGAACGCAACATCATGGTTGTTTGAACCAATGAGCATTAAGCTGTGTCATCAGCAAGTCTTTTCCCATCGTGCTTTTGGTCAGCGCAGCTGGGGGAGAGCGACTGCGCTCGACTGCACGGCCGACTCGCTGTTGCGAGATTTTTGCCATACGTCAGCGTGACATGAGAGCAAGGCAGACTGCCCTCGGACACATTTCTAACCAGCATGCATCTTGCGGTGATCACCAGTGATAGGTTCTGCACAGATTTTGCTCATCTCAAACGAGGCTCTTTTCCAGAGGACTGCAGGAGCTCTGATGACGACACAGCTGTTCACGATTAGATGAATTTACCACATGACAACAATCACGTGTGTTTCATGTTTATTCTGACACCTTCAATTCCTCCAATGCTCACAAATCTGTTTTTATAAGATTAAAAGCTCTTTTACATTTACATTTTACATTTTGGTAGGTCATTCCACCTACAGGGTGCGGTGAAAGAAAACATCCTTGAGAGTGATTTTGTGCCTCTCTGAGATGGGACCACAAACTGCCGCTCATTTACCGACTGCAGGCTTCTGGAGGGGATGTAGGAGGGTGTAGGAGAGAGCAGAGGTAGGAGGGTGCGGGGCCCGTGGCTGTTCTGTAGGCAAGCACCAATGTCTTGAGCTGTGACTGGAAGCCAGTGCAGAGAGATGAGAAGCGGTGTGACATGGGCTCTCTTGTGTTCATTGAAAACAAGACATGCTGCTGCATTTTGAATCATTTGCAGAGATTGCACATGCTGGAAGTCCAGCCAGAAGAGCATTGCAATAGTCAAGCCTAGAAATGATAAGGGCTTGGACGAGAAGTTGTGTTGCATGCTCTGTTAGGAAGGGTCTGAGCTTCCTGATGTGTCGTGCGAACCTGCATGATCATGCTGTTTTTGCAATATAATCTTTAAAGGTCAGCTGATCATCAATGATCACCACAAGATTCCTGGTCGAACTCGATGGGCTTATCGTTGATGAGCCCAGTTGGATGGTAAACTGGTGCTGTACTGATGAGTTGGCTGGGAAGATGAGAAGCTTTGTCTTTGCCAGGTTGAGCTGCAGTTGATGCTCTTTCATCTATGCCGAGATGTCCGTCAGGCAGTCTGCCTTTTAATGTAGTCACAATGTTATATTGAGTCATGTTTATCGAGCAACACTGATAAAAGAGTATTAGGTTATTGGTATTTAAATGGTATAGGCTTATGTTGAACTTTATTCTTGTACATTTGGCGTTGTAATAAAGTACATGAAAGTGTTTCTGTTGCTTCATGAAAAACATTTCTGAAACGTCTGTGTATTTAAGAAATATTGCATTTAATTCTCTTCATCTGTGATAAAGTATGCAAACACCGCACAAGCATCACTATGGGAAGCAGAAAGTGTCCAACTTCACATCTCCGCTTGAAATCAACCCCTGACTGCAGGCGGCAACTCTCGCCGATCGGTCTGCGCTGAGCAGCGCCACACACCTAGGGCTGGTTGCATAAACTGCTTAGACTAGTCTTAAAAATTTAGTCATCTAATTTGTTTTTTCTTCAAGACTGGTCATAACTTTTTAAAGTCAGTTACAAAAAGGTAGATTGACCCAGTTTGAATTAGAAAAGTAAGACTGATTACCTCTTGGCTAACTGCTAGTTGGTTAAACTAGTTCTTAAGGCACAGTCTTAACATAGTGGCTATGTTTATGCAACTAGCCCCTAAGGTGTGTTAGAACATCGACAACAAACGAAGCCTCAAGGTGTGTCTGCACAATGTTGCTTCAAGTCCGACACACCTTAGGTGTGTTTGATTTAATGCGGCGCTGCGCAGACCAATCGGTGTATGTATGACATCAAAATACAGCGAAAGCTATTTGAAAGCATATGGATCCATCTGCTCTCTATAGCTCTCGCGGTACTTTGATATCAAACACAGATCAGTCTGCGCAGCACCTCTTCAGGTCCAACACACCTTGAGGCTTAGTGTGTCGTCGATCACATGACTCTGTGTAAGCAATACACGCCCTGATACGGGGCTTCACTGAAGACTGTGCTGCGTGCTCGATACATGCCTCGAGGCTTCTTCAGTGTCATCAGTAACATCACTACTTTAATGTATATGACTTAAAGGGTTAGTTCACCCAAAAATGAAAATTACTCACCCTCAAGTCATCCTAGGTGTATAGCTACAGGAGGCCTTTGTTCACCCCCCGGAGCCGTGTGAGACGCTTTTTTATGGATGGGCGCTTTTTATTTAACTTCTTCTGGACTGATGCAATGCAACACCTGCTGAGTGGCATTAAACCGCTTGAAAGATCAAAGACAATTTTTAATATAACTCCAACTGGATTCGTCTGAAAGAAGAAAGTCATACACACCTAGGATGACTTGAGGGTGAGTAATTTATGGACTAATTTTCATTTTTGGGTGAACTAACCCTTTAAATCTGTTAGAACATGCAGTGGTCTCCTCTGAGGTTTAAATGTGGATTTAAAATTAAAAATCCAGCTAGCGGGTCCTGTGCTTATGGGTTAGGCTTAGGCTAGTAAAAATTAAATCTGGTTTGTTGTAATCAAATGAACAGTATTTCTTTTCTTTTCTTTTCTTTCATCATTATTGTGACCTTATTTCAGCCTCGTCTGCACTGGAGAGAATACAATTATCTTTTGGCACCACTCAGTGGACATTTTACTTGTCAATTTGTACCAGAAGGGAAGCATGTTTGGTTTTTACAACAAACCAACACATACATACAGGGCCTACCTACATACAAAAACATAGTTTTTCTCAGGAAGTTGAATTTCATCATAACAGATCATCAAAAACATAAATACAGTCAAGCGCTGATATAGCGTCAGGGCTCCTCAACTTCACTTCTGGAGGGTCAGTGTCCTGCTGAGTTTGGTTCAACAAGCTAATCAGGATGTCCAGAATTACTTGCAAATCACAGACAGATGGGAATAATTTACTGTAATTACTAAATACATGCAACATGTAACAAGGACACATTAAAATAAAGAGTTTCCAATTCTGCTCCTGGAAGAGCAAAATACCACTGTGCCTCAGTAAAATATTATTAATAAATTCTTATAGGTTGCTGTATACTGACATGAGAATATTTTTTTAGAATAATATTTCAACAATCAAGTCATGTGTTTTTTCTGTCGGCTGTTTAGAGTCAGAACTAGTGATGCCAAATTTGCTAATGAATCACTCTTTTGATATAATTGGTCAAATAGGTTTGCAAAAAACATCTGAAACGGTTCGTGATTCAATTATATTTTTTCGGACAGTTTACTTATGCACTTGATCATTTGCAGTGGTTTCTCACACTGAAATAGTAACAGGCAGTGTTGGATAGTAACTGATTACATGTAATCTGGATAACATAATCAGATTCCAAAAAATAAGTACTTATAATTAGATTATATAACATTTGAAAATACTTGAAATCAGACTAGAGTTACTTTGATTGCATGATTTCATATTATTCACACAATAGCCATAAATTATTAATTTGTTGGTTCTCCCTAATTCTTCTTTTTCACCTTTTAAATTTTCCTTTTTTAAATAAGCTTAACAATTATATAGATTTTAACACATTAAAATGCACAAATTAACGTTATTTCTTATTTACATGTAATGGGGGGATTCCCAAACTTTTTTGTCATCTGAATCTTTTCATCTAAT